GATCTGCAGAGTAAGATGTGAAAATTAAATAGTATCTATACCTGTCAGATGCTCTCAGAATTTCAGTTGATAACTTGTTTGGTTATAAACTGGGTAGAATACAGACCAGCTCTTCCACTTTGCCCTTGTTCTTTCTGTATAAGCAGGTGATTTGTTTACAAATTCTTTATCAAATAGTTTTTTTCTTTCTTTCTTTCTTTCTTTTTGGTGTGAATTTTTGCAAATATTACTTTCTAACTTATTTGTGAAAGAGAATAAAACTTTCAGTAGCTCTCTAGGCAAAGAGGAAAGCAATGAGGGAAAGCAGAGATCCTGAGAACACTCTACGGGACAGCCATTGTGAGGAATCTTTGACTCTGCTCTTATAATTCCTGAGCTGACAAGAAAGCCAAGCCCCAAGTCAGGGTGTAACCCAAGCCTCTGTGTCCTGCTGAGGACAGGGTGGGGCTCACTCAGTCAGACCTGTGTTTTAGCTCTGGCAGTGAGGACCTGGCAGGGATTCACCAGGACCCTCACATCATTGATGGAATCCTGTCAACAGTTCTGCTGAGAGCAGATCCCAGCATGACAAACCAGGTCAAGGGGCATGTCAAAATCCATCCGTATGTAGTTCTGGTTTTATAACATGAAAAAGCACTGAACTCCTGGATAGTTCCCTGGGTGTATCTGTGGTAACTGAAACTGTCGGTTAGTCCTGGCTGCGACATTTTCTTGAATGAAAATGGGGCTACATTTGGCTTCTTGCAGTTAATCCAGATCAGAAGGTCAGGATTATCTGACCACCTTCTTTTCACTGTTAGATCTCAAATCTTTAACAGTGATTCAACTCCCAGAACACTATACTAATTTGATACTAATCCATGAAAGGTCACTGCTAGCATAACAAAATCCCATAATAGTAAAACAAGAATATTCAGTGGCATTTTACATGTACTTAGTGCTTCTAATCTAACATTTAGTGTCACTGTAGATTCTATGTAGCAGTGAACTTTAAAACTAAGTCTTTTCCTTCCTTAATTCTTCTTCCTCATACTTTATACAAAATATAAATTCAAAACATTAAGAGGCCAATAGCTGCACTGGGAATATACTGCTAGTATAAAAATGATTCTTGATGAAATGCTATCTAATGAAACAAAACTGAAGCTCTGGGTCTTGATAACTAAGCCAGGAGGGTCTGTCACAGATGAGAGACTCTGAAAAGCTGGCTTTTCCCCAGAGCCCTAAGAATCTTGAAAAAGTATTCAAAGTAGAACTGACAGGGATGTTGATTTCACTGAGGTGCTACAGGCTCAACAAGCTCCATTTTATGAGAAATGTCAAAAAAATGTTGGGTTTGGCCTGGTTCAGACCTAGCACTTCTAGATTTTCATCTTCACCTTTTCATGAGATTACTCTGTGTTTCCTGACTAGCATATCTTCCAATCGACAGACAGAATAAATTGCAGGCAGCACTGAAAACAATTTCTCTTCTCCAGTTCATTACATACCCAGCATGAAATACTTTACAAGGAGCTTATTTTCATAATACTTGGACCATTATTTGAATAAAAGAGTAAAGCCTTTCTTGTATTCACGTTGAGAGAGTGACAGTCATTAAAATGAACAAGTGCCTGTTACCTATGAAGCAAGCCTTGGAGCAAGTCTCTCTGATCCAAGCATTTGAGTGAAGGAGGAGATGAGAAGGGGAATGATAATGAGAAACTGGATGCAAGTTAAAAAGCAGTTGCCTTTGGCATGTTTTTATTAATTTTTGGTTGGTATGGGGGAAAAGGTTGGTGTGTTTAGTGAACTTTCAGTGATTCTCAAAGTTATGATGAAAATAGAAGTTATAGTAAATAAGTGTTGAAGTAAAAATTGGCCAGGCAATATTTATTTGAAGTGTGAAAAGTCAGGCACCAAATGTTTTTCAAACATGACTGCTCTATGCAGTTATCCCGTTCGTAGTAACAATTAATACCAAGTATTACAGAGCAGCACTCTGCTGTTGTGTGTGAAAAAAATGTCTATTCTGGCTGTTCAATAAAACCATTAAGAGAGAGAAAAAGCCAGTCATGTTGGGTTTTGTTCCTTTCCTAACTCTGTGCTTTTGTATGTGAGGAAAAGCCAGTTTTGCCCTCTGCAGTCGTCTTTGCCCCAGGGTGTGACTACATTTGTTTTGAATTTTCTCCCAATATGTGCTAAATCAAAAGACAACATTTTGTTATTGCAAAAGTAGGGGAGTTTTTTTTTTTTAAAGCAAACTTACTCTGTCTGAACCTTCCTTCACTTTTGCTGCTTTTAAATTCACAGGTTATAGGTCACTGTAGTGGATTTCTGCTGTTACATGGCAGGAAATCCATTTATTCTTTTTGTGCTAGGAACTTCCTTGAAACATCTACAGGAACTCAATAACCCTACAGATCATCCAATAGAATAGGTCATTTCTGTCAGTACTGTGGGATTTCATTAGTGCCATAGCAGATTTTACACTTTTTTGCTTATCTGAAATTTGATAATTTGTAATTTGGACTTGTACAAAAAAAGTTTGTTTGTTTGTTTGTTTGTTTGTTTATTTGTTTTCCTCAGCCTTTAATCTATGTCAAGCATCCCAGGCTTTGTGGTAAGTAGACTACAAATTATAGTGTATGTCATGGGAGTGTGGTAGGTACATTATCCCTTTCTTATCTGGAAAGCCATCTCAATCTCAATTCTGTTCAGATGATGAGGAAAATGCTGTTGATCATTATTCCTAGCTGCCACATATGGTTTAGTGCTTTCAGAAGTTTTAGAAGAAATGGCAGCAGTAGGATGAACAGAAACAAGCACAACAGGATGATCAGGAGCGGGAAAGAATATCTGAACACTAATTTTGTCACATTATCTAGTATTGTCCTGTAGCTCTGCTCCATATTTGTATTAGTCTTCTCAGTGTCCAGGCAGTCTACATGACCTTCCACAGAGGGATGCTTTTGTGATAGTTATCATATAAACAAACATATATAATATCAAAGAAGACATATATAACATCTAAGAAGACAAGCAATGTATAAAAGATGAGGTAAGAAAAATAAAATTCATTAAAATAAAAGTAGTGCAATTGGACTGCTATTAGTTTTACTTTTAAAATCAAATCAGATTTACAAAGACACAGGTTGGTCGTATTCTACACAATTTTATCTACTGACTTTAGTGGAACAACATGAGAGATAAATCTGATTGGAATCCTCAACAGCAACCAACTTCTTTTCATTACAAATAAAACATCCCATTTAACATAGTACATAAATTATCCTGTGCTATGTGGTAAATGGTAAACCAGAGGCAATTTCATAGAAATGAGAGCAGCTCTGAGGAGAAGGACCTGAGGGTGCTGGTCGATGAGAAGCTCAATATGAGCCAGCAATGTGTGCCTGGAGCCCAGAAAGCCAGCTGCATTCTGGGCTGCAGCAAAAGAGGCATGACCAGCAGGGACAAGGGAGGTGATTGTCCCCCTCTGCTCTGTTTTTGTGAGATCCCAGCTGGAGTACTGTGTTCAGCCCCGGGGCCCCCAGCACAAGAAGAACATGGACCTGTCCATGGAACAAGTCCATAGGAGGGCCACAAAGATGATCAGAGGCATGGAGCACCTCTCCTGTGCAGACAGGCTGAGAGAGTAGGGGTTGTTCAGCCTGGAGAAGGGAAGGCTCTGGCGAGACCTTATAGCGGCCTTCCAGCACCTAAAGGAGGCCTACAGGAAAGCTGGGGAGGGACTCTTTGTCATGGAGTGGAGTGATAGGACAAGGGGGAATGGCTTTAAATTAAAAGAGGGGAGATTTACACTAGATATTTGGAATAAATTCTTTACTCAGAGGGCAGTGAGGCACTGGCACAGGCTGTCCAGAGAAGCTGTGGATGCCCCATCCCTGGAGGTGTTCAAGGCCAGGCTGGATGAGGCTTTGGGCAACCTGGTCTGGTGGGAGGTGTCCCTGCCCATGGCAGGGGGGCTGAAACTATGTGATCTTTAAGGTCCCTTCTGACCCAAACTGTTCTGTGATTCTAAGACTGTATGAATCAACAGAGTGATACTGGAGTTAAACTATTTGGAGATAATATTTTGCCAGAGCAGATTGTTTCCTATATTTCTAAATCTTAGCATGTATTTATATTCCTTCAGTTCTAATTAATTGGGAATAGATGCTGAGTAGGGTATGTCATGTGCTGTAGTTTCTACATAAACAAATCAAAGACTTTATGGCGTTTCCTTATATCAGACTTCATTCCTTTTTTTTTTTTTTTATTTTAATTTTCTTTTCTTTTCTTTTTTCCCTATTTGTTTGTTTGACTAAGATTTTCATATCCTTTATCTTTTTACTTTAGTAAAAAGGTGTGCATGACATTTTTCATATAGAAAAAACATTCTGAATTCTCGACAAAACCATAAATACTGCACATAGTTAGAATGACAAAAGTACTGGCTGACCTGGAGACATGATGCAAAATGTTACCATCTCAGCAAGGCATCTTATTACAGGAATATGCTTAAAGATGTAGACTCATCAGATTTGCCTTCTTGATGTCAAAGGCTATGACTCAACACTAATATACTGTTATTTTTGCCTTCACTCACATCTATTTTTGCCTTCACAGGCATGTAATAGGGAACATGAGTAATAGTTCAGGACTTGAAAACGATTCTACATTTTCTCAAAATTAAAGTACCATTAAAAGGCCCCAGGTTGTTCCTCTCAGGAGGCAGTGGTCAATAAATCTGAGCTGCAGAAAAGGATATGTAGATGAATGCCTTACCTAGTTTGTACTTATGAGGGAAGACATACTTACACAGGTTATTTGACTTAATGAATATATAATCCAGTTTGGATCATAAAATATACCATAATAGGAAATCTAGGGTTCATTAAATTCCTCTAGCCTTATACTTGTTGATGTGTTTACTCTGTCAGTTTGACATGCTGTCTTTTTCAGGCTGCATCTCTGGTCCCCTGATCATTCATTCTAAATTAATGCTGTTTTTCCTGTAGGAGAATGGAAGAATTATCTGTGTTTTTGGAGCATGGATACATACTATGCGAAGAGGAAATCTGTAAGCATCTTCTCAGTATATCTTTTCTTCAGGGAAGCCCCAAGCATGTCTTGTGCAAGTCACTGGCCACAGGAAGCCTGACTCTCTTTTCCCAAAGCAGCTGTTTTATCACTTGTTCATTCTTTATTTTATGTATGGCTATTACTCTTTGGTAACAGAAAGTCATTTATCCAAGTGAATCCCAAAGAAAAACAGAGGAAACCAGAAGGAGGTTTCCCAAGAGCATTATTAGAGGTGACTGAGCAGCTTGCTGCTTCTTGGCATGACAGGTACACAGGGCAGTGCAGGTTCAGCAATAAGCAAGGTGATATGTATGAAAATTGGTGACAAGAGGAAGCAGTTGTTTCCTTAGGCTGACAAATTTTGACAATGGTGACACCTTGGTACCACTTGTTTTACTCTAATTCCTGGGCATAGGGCCAGTTATGGTCAGATAAAGATGTTTTTATGCCCTATGTCCAACATGCCCATTTGTTTCAAGGCTATTTAGTAATTATAATGGCATTATAAACTTTTGTGCTTTGCTTGTATAGGAGGAGTTGATTGGTTTTCCTAGATGGTAATGAGTACAATAAATATATGACCATGCTATGGCCATGTGTATTTGAGAGCAGTAAATTGCTCATTAAAATTCTATTGCAGGAATTAAATCAGAAGACTATTGCCTTAGCCAAATAATGATGGCTATCACTTTTTAATCAAAACATATAATTTTATGGCTTATGAGTTAACTAATGGCTGTGGAACCTGATTTGAGATTGACACATAAATCATAAGACAGGCCTCTGGGATGATCTTGGTTCATATGAGGAAAAAAAAAAAAGAAGTTGGAAAAGTAGGCATAGTAGTGTTTTTTTTTTTTTTTTAATAGTCACATTTCACTAATTTAAGGGGTAGAGATGAAGACAGATACATCCAGATTTGTATCATGATTGTCATTCTCCTTATTGTAACCGTTTCTGATTGTTACCCTCTTATAACTTTCCTCTATGACAGAGGAACTAGGGGCCAGAGATTCAGATGTTGATGTTTTAAGGATCCAGGGTCTGCCTCTGATATGTCCTGGCTGTATAGCCTTGGCTCAGACTGCTGAGAAAGTTGCTAAGTTGTGAGAAAACTGTGAGAAAGTCTGTCAAGACTTTCAAATAAGGAAGGGAAAATAAGAAAGGTGAAATAAGAAAGGTGAAAGTAGAAATGTAGGCAGGATTTTAATTAGGAGGTCAATGATTCAAGAAGAAAAATATTGGTCTGTCAGGGTGTAAAATGTTAAATGGAAGAACAAGGTGGGTCTAGCAAAGATCTGCTCAATTGTCAGTGCCATTTGTATGTCAGTGTTGATGGTACTGGTGGATGACAGGAGCTCATTGGTGAGCAGGTCTCTTTCACAAGACCATGGAGGCCAACTCTTCTGCTCCTGACTGATCCCCTCCTCACCAGCAAAGTCTGTTTGAGTATCTTACTGGAATGGAGAACACACCACCTAGCCTAGTAGACTGTGAAAGCCTAGCTAGCTTCTGTATGTGTTGGCTGACAAATCACTGCTTTATCCTTTCAAACACACTGCTTATAGAGCATCTTTGCAAAATGCAGGGTGCCTATGCAAACTGACCCAAAACACAGCAGTTGTGTTTGAATGTTTAAAAATGCATATCACAGAATGAATACTTAAAAATATGCCCATATTTATTTAAGAGTGTAATGCAGATCTCTTATCCAATCTGATTTGATCAACTCTAATCAAGAACAAAACACATGGCATTTGCCTAGAAAAATATGTAAGAAAACATAGTAGTTCAGTGACTATTTTATAAACCAGAAATTTCTCTGTAGAGGAAAATGCAAAGAACTAGGGTAAGCAGGCACAGCAACTTGTGCACAGAAGGAAAGCAAGAACACAATTGCCTGTGTGCAAACCAATAAACCCCAGTGTCATTCTTGGAGCTGGGACTAAATGAGCTAAGGAATGCTCTCATAAGCCTTGGTTAAAACAGAAGTGTATGTAGGTAATATAGGTGTAGCAGATAGACTTGTTATACAGCACAATTCTTTCTTTCATAGCAGTTCTTTCTTTCTCTGACATTAAATCATACTTGTTTTTTAAAAGCCGTTGCTTTCCAAAGGCAAACTAGACAATTTCAAAGCCTATCAGGCTTGCTGAATGATCCTCCTTGGTGCAGTATGCAACATGCTCTGAGGCCCAGGACATTAGAGGGGAGCTGCAAGACTCCAGCTGGAGTGGTGATGGGTGGCACAAGATGTCTGGTCCAAGGGCCATGCACTCAGAGAAACAACAGCATTGCTCAAAGAAAATAGAGACCCTGAACCACGGCATTCGTAAGTATAATAGCATTTAGATCTTCCAGGAACGCCTCACAATCTGCAGCAATGCTGTTTTTGATTTTAGTCCCGTGGTTGTTGAGAAATGTGTGTGCGTGAATGCCTTACTTTCATTATTATTTCACATTTCAGGAGCTGAGACCTGGAAATGCCATTCTACCTACATAAGATACTCTTATCAGGTGACAACTGTTATGCCAAATGCACCATATTTGCATGAAAATGCAACTAAGTCTCAGGCTGTATGTCTGTGGTAACCAGAAAAGCATGAAAACCCATTTCTTAACTTAGAGGTCCCATTAAACAAACGAGACATGACAGTGTTTGATTTCATTCGAAAATCAGAAAGAGAACAAAAACCTAAGATATTGGAAGATTGCCCTTAGGATTTAGAAGTGGAAAGAGGAGACAATAGGTAGATTTATGCCTTTAAATCAACTTTCTGCTTGTTTCTTCCTAAGCTTGTATGGCATTTTATGATTTAGAACACTTTTTAACTTGTTTGCAAATTGAACATCATTTTAAAAAGGATGAGTTGTCTATAATAAAAATCAATGCAGATATTGAATTGAAGTAATGGAAAAGATCCACTTTGGTAAATATCAAATGATTTCAAAGACAGCTTGGCAAGAAATATGAATGAAAGGATTTCAACTTGTTTACAGAGGCGTGGGTAGCACAAGCAGTTTAACTGTTCTATGTGAAGAATGGAAGAAATTGTTTCTGTCCCCCACTCCCCTCCCCTTTGATCTTTTCATAATCTAAAATGTGTTCACTCTATATGCATTTGCAAGGAGGCTGCACTGTTGCTGAAGTCTCTTCTTCTATTAAAATCTGTAATTAAAATAGAGTTGCATCAGTGTTAGCTAATGAGAGTGTGTCTTGTCTCTCAGGCGAGCTCTCGCCAGAGCATGAAGGCTCCAGGGCACTGTGCTCCAGAGGACAGTAAGTGGCTGCCAAGCTATCTGGAAATCCAAATTTTGTCATGTGGGAAATTCTGACATTCTGTAATGTTTTCATTCTAAATAATAAAACTTTAAGTCTCTCTCAGGAGATAAATTTCCCAGAGAATTTGGATCTGGAAACATCAAAATGATCATGCTAAAATGTTTCCTTCTTCCTAGTTATGTACAAATGCTTAATTCTGGTAATGCCTGCTGTAAGGACACTAACACTGAATTTTCACCTACAATATGAAATGTAAGATTTCAGATGGAACTGCAGAGATAAATCAATACTAAACATAGTTTGAGTTTGAGTAAGCCTGCTAATTTCCCACCAGAAGCATACTCAAAGTGAACACTTTATTTTTTGACCAAACATTTTGCAATAGACAGTTGTGCTGTAAAAATAAACATTTAAATAGTTCTGTTTGTTATTTCTTAATTTCAGTCTCATATTACACAAGTCAGCACTATGAAAAGCGCTATTACTTCAGCATACAGGAGTTAATATCTGTTGTCTTCACTTGTTATTGTATTTTCTTTTTTAATAAAAAAGAAAACTCAAAAACTAAATACAATCAAAATTCAAACTGCCTTTAAACCACCAGAACAATTACAAAGTCATGCAGCATATAAGTGATTTACACTAAACAGAATCATTCTAGGATAAAGTTCAATGTATTTTATATCCACCATCAACCTTAATGTATGGGCCATGGTGCTTCTCTGCTCCCACAGCTCATCTATATAATTTTTTTTAATGTTGAAGCTAGTTCATCACTATAATTATGATTTAGAGTTTTTTTTTTTTTTTTTTGATGTTGTTGTTTTTGTTTTGTTTTATTTTGTTTTGTTTTGAAAGAACATAAGGGACAAACAACTGTCCCTTACACCTTTTGTCAGGAACATGAGATTTTTCCTGACTCTTCTCTCCCTGATTCTGGATTTTATCTATCCTAGCTCCAGAGGGAAATCTTTGCCCTTTCAGAGATGAGCAGGAAAATCAGCCAGTTACCAAAGCTCTGCTGGTGTTTATAACGTATGTGGTGTCTACAGAAGAATGAAACAAAAAACATGCATGAGCACAACAGAACACAAAAGCATATGGTATTCAGATTGAAGATAAGGGAGTTGATGATGAGAGCTTCATTAATGCTAATAAGAAGAGTGTAACTGCATTGCCGCATGTTGTGTTGCATATGTATGCTTTGGAGGCAAATAAACCTCATTTCAAATCTAATGAGTACAGTACAGTCCTCAGTTTGACATAACAAAAGTTATTCCATTGCTCAAATTATATTTGTTACTGCAATTATTTTGTTATTATTGTTGTTTTTGTTAAAAAGTTTGGTAGAGATTTAAAGGGAAAAAAAAAGGGGAGACAAAGAGATAAAATACAAGGGGATCATATATTATTATGTTTTCAAATATTGAAGTTCAGGAAATACTAACGTTACCAGCAGTATGTTAATAGTAACAAATAGAAACAGTTGGCAAATTTTAGCTGCAATTTCTCTTGAGAAAGGAGAAGTTTTTATCTCCTGTAAGGGACACATGCAGTGTTTAGTAAAATTCTGGTTGGGTACACAGTAGGGAAGAAGCTGTGACATATTCTTACATGTCATTATATTTTAAAATATGGTGTGGGTTAGTACTTTAGAGAGCAGCAACTTGGCTGTACAAGGACCCTCAGGCTCAAATTTGGCAGTGAGGGAATCAAAGCCTTTACCCACTAAATAGGTATATAAGTAGATAATATGCAGTCATTCACCATATCTACTAATGAAAATTATTGATTTCCTGTTTAAACTAATAAATCAACTATACATCCCTATTAATTGGTTTATTATCCAAGAACTCTAATAGTAATAGAAACACACAGTAATATTTCATTATGTTAAAATATCATGAAAGAAAATATCTGTTGAATCAGGTACAATAGACTCTGGACAATGTCAAACCAAGAAAATGAATTGTGGTATTTGCCTGAAGACCAGACACTCATTCACAGCAACTTTTAAGTAGATTGTCTGGCTGTAAATTGTTGGGTCTTTGTACCATGCCTGTGTCTTCCTTCCTTTGTGTTTGCACAAAGACAAGTAAATTGAGAGATGTAGGGTAGGTCCTGCCTAACTAACCTGATTTCCTTTTATGATAAGATCACCCGTATGGTGGACCAAGGGAAACCAGCTGATGTGATTTTTTTGGACTTCAGCAAGGCTTTTGACACGGTCTCCCATAGGATCCTACTGGACAAAATGTCCACCATACAGCTAAATAAAAACATCATACGATGGGTGAGCAATTGGCTAACGGGCAGGGCCCAAAGGGTTATGGTGAATGGGGCTGCGTCAGGCTGGCGGGCGGTCACCAGTGGGGTCCCTCAAGCCTCCATTTTAGGGCCGGTACTTTTCAATATTTTTATAAACGATCTGGATGTACGAATAGAAGGTATTTTGAGCAAGTTTGCTGATGACACCAAACTTGGAGGAGTTGTGGACTCGAATGAGGGTGGAAAGGCCTTGCAGAGGGATCTGGATAGGCTGGAGAGCTGGGCGATCGCCAACCGCATGAAGTTCAATAAGAGCAAGTGCCGGGTCCTGCACCTGGGACGGGGAAACCCCGGCTGCACGTACAGACTGGGTGATGAGACGCTGGAGAGCAGCCTAGAAGAGAGGGATCTGGGGGTCGTGGTAGACAGCAAGTTGAATATGAGCCAGCAGTGTGCCCTGGCAGCCAGGAGGGCCAACCGTGTCCTGGGGTGCATCAAGCACGGCATCGCTAGTAGGTCAAGGGAGGTGATTGTCCCGCTCTACTCTGCGCTGGTGCGGCCTCACCTCGAGTACTGTGTGCAGTTCTGGGCACCACAGTATAAAAAGGACATGAAACTGTTGGAGAGTGTCCAGAGGAGGGCTACGAAGATGGTGAAAGGCCTGGAGGGGAAGACGTACGAGGAATGGCTGAGGGCACTGGGCCTGTTCAGCCTGGAGAAGAGGAGGCTGAGGGGAGACCTCATCGCAGTCTACAACTTCCTCGTAAGGGGGTGTCGAGAGGCAGGAGACCTTTTCTCCATTAACACCAGTGACAGGACCCGTGGGAATGGGGTTAAGCTGAGGCAGGGGAAATTTAGGCTTGACATCAGGAGGAAGTTCTTCACAGAGAGGGTGGTTGCACACTGGAACAGGCTCCCCAGGGAAGCGGTCACTGCACCAAGCCTGTCTGAATTTAAGAAGAGATTGGACTGTGCATTTAGTCACATGGCCTGAACTTTTTGGGTAGACCTGTGCGGTGTCAAGAGTTGGACTTGATGATCCTTAAGGGTCCCTTCCAACTCAGGATATTCTATGATTCTATGATTCTCATACCAGGTCTTGCAAAATGAAAAAGGTTGGGGGTTTGGAATTCCTGTAGTCCTGGGATTCCTGCTAGGTTTGTTTCTGTCACCTAGGTGTACAGCCTACCATGGTGTTGATATGGATCCAGAGGGAGCACTTTCCAGGTGTAAAATGATAGCAGCATGATTGCTCCCATTATTACAATTGAGGAATACATGTGCATTTTTACATGTTGTCAATCCAAAATTTTGTGTCACTTCTAACACTTGTGCCTTATGCAAGAACTGAGTCTACAATTACTCAAGCTAAAGACATGGGGGCATGGGGACAGGAAACTAGCTCAAAAATTTATAACTAAGGCATATTTTTGGATTAAATTAATAAGAAAATAATTTAATTGTTAGCATGCTTTCTGTGATGGTTTCAGCCCAGGGTAACTAGGCTTTCTCTCGCTATACCCAGGTGTGGTGTTGGGGCTGGCATGGACCAGGGTTTATATCTACAGGACAGTGTAAATGAGGCAATATGCTCTGGGAAGAAGACAGTATAGTTATATGATTACAAAACATGCCATGCCCCTTCCCAGAGAACAGACTCCTATCTTTCCATTTATAAGCATAAGCACTACCTGTGATCTCACTATAGTTCCTCTTGCAGGTGGCAGTTGACCTTAAATGACATGCAGTCTTTAATGGATTGTGCATATGAAGTAGGCTCCTCTTTTCTCTCTCACTTGATATCAAATGTTACGGGCTTTTGAGAATAAGAACTGAGGACCTGATACAAATTTGGGCAGGAGGAGACGTGAGAACAGGCGCTGATGAACATGCCCTGGATCTAATTTTATTTGGTCTGTGGTGGGAGAAAACTGGAAAGGTTTGTTGCCAAACTCAGCAGCTCCTGTGTATTCCAAGGACCTGAAAATATTTGGTCCATAATGATATCATTCCAGTCAGACAAGATCATAGAGAAAAAGATAAAGTAATTGTATTTTGTGATGGACTGAACTTTGTACCCCAGCAAGTGCTATGACTCATCACACACTAATCAGTGCAACTCTACCTCTTTTTTTTTTTTTTTTTTTTTTTGTATTTTTGAAACAGAAATGATAAAATCTTTCCTAAATTCTAAGCACATGTAGGCACATGCATATACACATAGTTTATTTTAAACATAAATATTATACAGATATGCACTAGATGTTTCATAAGTAGTTAAATAGGTCGCAATTACTCTGACCATAATAATCCTTGCATTGCCCTTTCATACACAGCTCACATATCACCTGCAAACTTTAAAAGAAAATGTTAGGGATGCTTTTATGGTAAAGGATGTTTTACTTGGTTATGTCTCTTAATAGAGAGTATACAAACATAATTTACGTACATGGCCATGATAAGATTTTGAACAGAAAACACTCTATTGTAGTGACATCAATTAATTTGTCAACACATTAGAGCTATGTCACTGGCACACAAGATATCCTCTTTACAAAACAGTACCTGAATGGCATGTAAAGTCTGATTCTTACTGTTTTTGTTTTTTTTTTTGTTTGTTTGTTTGTTTTGCATGAGACATTCAGAGAGTGAACAGCATAACTGAAAAGAGAGTATTAAACTTCTTATACAAGCTAACTTACAAACAACAGGGAAAAGCTGAGACAGGATTATTAAACAGTCAACAGAACTGATAATTACTTTAAAACAAAACAAAACAAAACAAATTGACATTTTTTGAAGACAGTAAGAATCAGACAGAGGTAATGAATTGGAAGTGCTGCCTATGGCACCATATACTAATACAGAATTTATTTTTCTTTTCAGGAGATCTTTGGCAACATTAGAAACTATTACCTTGAAGTAGTCTGCCTTTTCCTATCTCACTGTGCAGTGAGAGCATATGATTGCAGATGACCTGGTGAATTACTGGGTTCAGTCCTACGCAGTTGTGGATGAAAAAAACAGGGTCGTGTTGCATTTCCCCATTGTCGGTGGTGCTGCCCTCCACCATGTGGCTGAGCATCTCCGTCATTGCAGAAAACATCTCGTAGATTGCTTCTTTCTCATTTGGCTGTGCCCCACCTTTTTCTTATGCTTCTTCTTGGTTTTCATTTCCAATTTCAACTAACAACATGTGACAACCATCAGTTAGGTGATCAGCTCTACCCTTCACCTTTACCATGTTGACAGATTTGGGCAGAGCTTTGAACTGCAGATTAAAAGGAGAGCTCTATGTCCCAGCACTGCAGAGTTACAGATGAATGAGACTACTGTAAACAGGGTGGAGAAATGTGCGTTAAACTGTCATTACACTTAATGAAACAGAATTGGCTTTGGGAAGACGATAAATTATCAGAGGCAAGGGTTGTGCCTGTAGAATACAAAGGAATACAGTATGTAAAAGTATATTTCACATCTACAGAAGTGTCTTAGCATGGGGTATCACAGAAAACAGGTCTGGAAGGGATCCGAGAAGGTCAGTTAGTCTATCCCCTGCTCCAAGGCAGGATAAGCTATATATAAATCATTCCTGACAGACGGCTGTGTTACGTCCTGATAAAAAAAAAAAAAACAACACCAGCGAGGGAGACACTATAGCTCCCCAGGCAGTGTACTCCATTACTCAACTATCTCACCATTAGAGAGTATATCTATTGCCATAGTATAAGCCCCTGCTTTCTTTTTCCTGTCACTGCTTGATAGAGGAAAAAAAAAAAAAGGTTTATTTTCTTTCTCTTTGCAGCAAGCACATACACAGCACAACACTCTAAGGAGAATTGCTCTACATACAAAGACTGTGATATAGGCCATACTCAGAGTTTTAGCAAAGTGGACCTATTCAGGAATTAAACTCATGTAATGAGTTACCTATCTATATGTTACTGAAAAGAAAGCTAAAGAGTTCACTTAAATCTTGCTTGTGACTCTCCTGTGGGTATTTTTAGCTATGTCTACAGGCCACGTGCACACAGGTACTCTGTACTCACTCTGCCCTGGCCTCAGACCAGGAGTTCATGAGCTAAGTGTGATCGATCATGTTAGCAGGATACAGTTATTAAGCCTGCTAGTCTGTGGGCCAGCTCAGAAAGCAATCAGAGCAAGCTCACAACTCTCTACAGCTGTCTTTTTTAGTCCTAAATGACTGCCTGCCTGCCCGGGGAGGTGACTGCGAGTCAGGTTAGGATAGAGACTGCAAAGCACTAGCTGTAGGAGGCATACACAGAACACTAAGTATGGTGGCTTGTCAGGGTGACTAATAAAAAGATTTCCCTATTTTCCTGACCCAATATATGAAGCTCTGTGCTTTGAATAATACAACGGGAATCAAGCCACCACATGCCTTGAGTGACGTGGCAGGAGCTTAGCTACCATGTGACACAGAGGAGGACATAGCCCAAAGCTTCACTTGGGGACAATCTGGAGCCTAGAGGGGGCTACTAGGTGCGGAGCCTTGCAGCCCTTTGGCTCCTGAGAAGAATTAAAGGCTTTTTACAGCTCTGGATCTTGTATATGAGGTGCAGCTGGTTGGTAGGTCAATGCATGAGTGGACCCATTGGGAAAAGGATGCATGAGGGTCCTGGTGCAGGGAGGGGAATGTGCTCGAATTTCACACACTCTTAATTCTCTGAAGTTTTACTCCTATATGGTAGCCCTGAAAGTACTTTTGTGTGGTGCAGCTTATCTGACGTTCAGAAGGGAACAAATTGACTCATTCTTAATATATGATATGGAGGAACGGCAAGATGACAGATTCACAGCCTAGCTCACTACTCTTATTCATCTACCCATATAGATGTGTTCACATAGCTAAGAGTTGAATTTAGCTCAAACATAATTGTCTTTCATCTGACATTTTGTCTT